GGGAAGCTACTGCAGGGCATTTGCACGATAGAATCTCGGAGCGACAAGTTTCTTCCGAATCTTAAGATGGCGCTGAAAGACCCAACGTACGCCTGCACAAGAATTGCGAATCCATGGAAGCATGACGCTGCATTCGACGAAGTTTTTCAGATGTGCAGTGTTTCTCACCATAGGGGTAAGAAAGCTGCTTCGTCGATATTGGAATATTCACCTCAGCTTTCAGAAATGTTCAGGAAAACCATTTGTGTCTTGGAAAACTGCCCAGTGAAAGGTGGCCGCATCAAAAACTTGCAGACGGCGAAACAGCGATTTCAGAGCACACAAAAACCATTGGGACGATTTGTGTTATTCTTGCCCGCAGTATTCAGCGTGTTTGCTCAAGTTCTGGCCACTCGATCTGGCAGGGACGAGGATGTGTGGATTCGCGAGTGGTTGGATTGGGTATCTGAGGAACGGTTGATCTTACTAGCGATGCTCGCCGACGCAGGCGACGAAATCAATTTATTATTATTAAGATACTTCGACGACAGGCAGCACGACATTTCTGAGAGGCCAGCTCGGATTCACGCTTTCGTCAAAAAGGATCGATTATATATTCTTGCAAGATGGATGCTTGAGTTTGGGGTATACTAAATATATGCTAGACCAATTGAGCGACGTTATCATGGTACATACAGGCATTTCTGTGATGACGATTGGGGGGCCTGGAAAAATCACCCACGCCCTGACGCAAAACTGCATTGGCAGACTCGCAAGCTGGGTCAGACTTACGATTGCCACATTGCATGCTGAGTTTCCGGCTTGGGACATAATGCAAGCGTTTGGGGTACTCGATTTGAACGTGAACGGGGCGTCGAAGGAGTTTCATTGAACAGATGCTGCTGTTGCCAGGCTGGCGAAAGCGTACAAGGTCAATGCAGAGTCTCTGGCATCGCAGCTGGCCGATCACTTCTATTGTGCCAAGCAGGAGTTCGACAAAGGCCTGGACGCCCGAAAACATACCTACTCGGCCTCCCCTCTAGGAAAGCCCTGTGAGGGCAAGAGATGATAACACAACGATTTGAAGGGATAGGGTGGGTAAAACCATTGGGATGGTTTTCAAAGCATGTGGGTACACGGGTAACCTGGTAACCTAGAGGGGAGGACGATAGGCATGTTTCACGACAAGGCGGTGTTGCTGTAGAGGGTGGGTGGCGAATCGCAGTCCGCCGATCGCAAAGTAGGAACAGCATGAGTGCAAAGCACCCTGTGGATGCTATTTCCCCTGTGTTGCAACGATACGTGGGGTACTCTGGTTCAACAACAAGTCGGGTGGAATATGTTTTTTCTCGGCTTGAAGAGCTGCTTGGCACAAGCAGGCACGAACACCTGGATGATCATATGGAACTGCTCTCACTCAAACTCAAAGTGGACTTACAGCCGTCAGACACAGAACAAATAATTGCCGACGCAATCACAATTTGGACAGAGTATTTCGGGGCAGCACGGATTTCGGGCACCCAACGATTGAAGATACGGTTTGACAAGGGCTCCAGATTTGCAAAGAAACGTTTGCAAACAAGTACTGAAAAGTCGTTTCTTGATGACAGGCGAAATGCGGTTGGTAAAGGCAGTTCGTCTGTGATCTCTCGATCGACTGAAGATGTACTCAAGCATGGTATTTGGAGAAGCTCGTCTTCGTGGGGGGACAAACACGCAGCCTTTGAAAAAAAAAAAAAAAAAAAAAAAAAAAAAAAAAAAAAAAAAAAAAACCGTGTGCAATCATATGAGAACGGCCACCTTTTGGACCGCGAGGTGGACTCACATTTGGAAGTAGACTTGCAAGAAAGCATCAAAAAAAGGAAAGCTGGGGACCACAAGTTCGATGTGGAACGACGGAAAAAAATGAGACGCTTAGGAGTGAGTTCCCTTCCGAAGCCAGCCTTTTTCGATAAGAAAGTATACGTGCATCCTGCATGTAAGATTGCGGATGCTGAAGTGTCTTCGGTTTTGCGGTTATGTAAACTGTCCAGGGTTAGCGACGATGATATTCGCAGCGCATCAATTTTCATTGCGAGCGACCCTGCCAACCCTGGCCAGCGGATTCTCTGGGTCTCAGCTCTGGTAGGTGGCACAGTCGGCACCCCTAGTTTCTTCACGTCGCACGGTAGACGTGGCGCGCATTTGGTATTGACGAACGGTGCTGCTACAAAGAGATCCATATTTATATCGGTTGCGTTCGCTGCAGGCCACCCGTTTTTTGCTCGCATGCTGCAGGAGCCACGTCCACCTGGTTGGAAGACCATATTTTCTAAGGATGGGTTCAGGGCTGCAGTCGAGGCCGATAAGAAGAGACCAAAACTGCAGCAGCGACCCATGGACACGATCGCTCTGGTTTCACTCTCAGAGAAGTCAAGAGATTTCTCCACGTGGAAAAATGTGTTCACAATTCAAACTTTCGGGGTGTGGCTCCGCCACGTGGACGAGTCCAGGTGCGGAGCGTCTGTTCAGCAAGGGCTGAAGCTTAAAGAGCTCCCTACCGTAGTGTAGGAATCACTACGTCGTAGGGACGTAGCACGACATTGAAAACATTTTTTTTTTTAAATAAATATTTTTTATATATATATATATATATAAAAAAAAAAAAAAAAAAAAAAAAAAAAAAAAAAAAAAAAAAAAAAAAAAAAAAAAAAAAAAAAAAAAAAAAAAAAAAAAAAAAAAAACACGCAATACAACAAGAGCATGTGCTCGTTTCTACTGTACGCTTGCTTGTTGCCTGTATCTGATGATGCAAAAGTTTTTTCAGTGCCGTCGCATCGTGCTTTGAATATTTCGGCCACATGGATTGTTACACAAGGCTTGCGTCGATTCCGACGCAGACATGTTCTTGGGGCTTACGCCACTTCCGACGCCATGAGGCTGGCGCCACTTCCGTCCGCGCGGAGCGCCCAAGAGGACCCCGAATAGCGCCAAAGAGGACCCCCCGTGACATACCATAGCATATCATAGCATAACAGCATAGCATCACATAGCATATGATGATATAAACAATGCGTAACCACGCATAGCATAACATAGCATATAGTATCAGTCACACCATAACATAACATAACACAACATATCATCACATAGCGTAACATAGCATAGCAATCATACCATACCATACCAAGCCAGTACGCCCCGCCGCCAACATAACATAATATAACAAACCAATCATAAACAAAAACATAACATCAGCGATACAATATTATTCCTCATGCGCCTGGGGGCCCGAGAGGAGGCCCGCGGACTACGCCTCGTGACCCAAGAGCATTCGGCGCGGGTCGGCGGTTAATTGGCCGTCTTGACGGTGTCGTCTTGGTGGTGCCGTCTTGGTGGAGCAGTCTCGGGGGTCGTCTTGGTGGCGTCGTCTTGGGGGGCGTCTTGGGGGGGCGTCTTGGGGGCCGTCTTGGGGGTGCCGTCTTGGTGGTGCCGTCTTGGGGGTCGTCTTGGTGGCGCATCTTGGGGGGCGTCTTGGGGGAGCAGAAATCATGATGATTTCTGGTTTGATGATGACGACGGCCACGGCACAGACGACGACGATGATGGCGATGGTGAGTAGAAAGATGATGAGCATGGATATTCTGATGATGATGATGATTATGATGATGATGATGATGGTGATGATGATGATGATGATGATGATGATGATGGTGATGATGGTGGTGATGATGATGTTGATGATGATGATGATGATGATGATGATGATGATGATGATGATGATGATGATGATGATGATGATGATGATGATGATGATGATGATGATGATGATGATGATGAAGACCGCTGTGATGGGGGGGTCGATTACGTCCCCACTATGAGGGCGGTGGGTCGATTAGGTCCCCGCTACGAAGGGTAGTCGATGAGAGGGGGAGTCAATCAGGTCCCCGCTATGGTCGATTATGTCCCCGCTATGGGGAGGGGGTCGATTACGTAGGTCCCCGCTGTCACTGTGATGGGTGGGTCGATTAGGTCCCCGCGACGAGGGGTCATCGATGCGATCCTCGCTACGAAGGGGGGTTGCACCATGCTATGCTATGCTATGCTATGCTGGGCTATGCTACGCTGGCGATGGCGACTGTGATGTTGGGAGGACGGATGTGGAGAAGGAAAAGGTTTTTGGAGGATGCGCGACCTGAAGACCTGCGACTAAGCTTCGGCCAGGTAGGGGTACCCAGCCGGCACGGCGGGATACCCATCCGGCGGCAGCACGGGGGGCCGGGCGCTCAGATACCCATCCAGCGGGATACCCATCGGGCGCTGGCTGGGTGGGGGTACCCAGCCGGAACGGAGGAATACCCATCCAGCGGCCGCTGGATGGGTAGGGGTACCCAGCTGGCAGGGCGGGATACCCATCCGGCGGCTGCTGGATGGGTCGGGTACCCAGCCGGCACAGCGGGATACCCATCCGGCGGCCGCTGGATGGGTATCTGGCTGGGTAGGGTGGACGCCAGAGAGGATACCCAGCCGGCGGCGGGAGTACAGTATGGGACCCTATGTAAGAGCCCACGGATTCGCGACCCTGGAGAGGGCCAATGTATGGGCACATACTTGATGTAAAAAAACACGGGATAGGCACACACGTAAAAGCACACGGATTCGTGCCCCAGGAGAACGGCAATCTATAGGAACAGTGAATAAAACATGTCGGATTCGAGCCACACGAGTCTCCTGGGAGGCCTCCTGGGGCTGAGAACATTTTTTCCACCAAACTGTGCCCCGCACCATCGATAAATCACAGACTCCGATCTGGGATCCCAGATCGGACCCGATCTGGGATCCCAGTCATCGACGGTTCTGTATCCCCTTCTGGACCCTGTCGTCGCGAAGAACCGTTCGAACGTTTGAAAGCCGGAACAGATTATGTCATGTACGACGCACGTTAGCTGTATGTTAGCAGATGTCAACCCTATCTTAACCGATCGCATGGGAACCCTTGGACGAACACGGGGAAAGGCCCTGGGAGGCCCCGTCCCTGCGGCCTGCACCGTAGCTGCAATAGCGCACACAAAATACCTGTTATGGTGATTGCAATACCCAGCGTACCAACCTTTTGCATACCCCACAAACCAATGATCAGAGCCATTCATAGTGGATGTGAGTCCATATTGCATTGATAGCTGATCACCGCCATGGTCTCTCCACAACTCAGTCTGCTCTTTCGTGGCCAATGTGGCACCTTCTGACGAACATATGTCCAACACTGGCTGGCAACTGGGGTTGCCATTTGCATAGACGGCAGTAATCCGAGCCTGGCCGTTATTGCTGAAACATGTGTCGCCGATGAGTTGATACGATACCGGGCACGTCGC